TTACCTTGAATAACATTGTTATCCGAATCAATCTTTTCAAGGGCAGGAATGCAAAATGCAGCGGTCTTTCCAGTACCATTTTTAGCTCTAGCAAGAATGTCACTACCGGTGAGAGCAATAGGAATACTTTCTTCTTGGATAGGAGAAGGCCTTTCAAACCCTTTTTCATATATACCCATGAGTAGATCACGTTTCAGGAAGTAATCTTCAAACTCATTTCCTTTTGTTGCAGTAACATCCTGCATGAAAGAAAGCATATCCACCATTGACAAAAATAAGATGAGCATTCAGTTCCTCAGAAAGTTTGGTTCAGCAATAATACTTCCCATGTGAGCCACAAAAGCAAAAAAGAGAAAAAAAAAATGGTAGAAGCAGGATATATAGATCATATACAAGTAAAGAAAAAAATCTATCATCCTAATTCGAAACATTTAAGTGAAAATAAAATATTTGAACAGTTAACAAACAGAGAATACACTTCTTTTCATCTGCCGCGAGGGTTCCATATTCAGGTATACTAGCAGAAACAAGATGTACAAATGTGCATAGCCAAGTGTCATATTAGGGCATACAACATGTATCTGACAGGTACATGTATATTTGGTTGGACCCCGGTCAAAACATAGTGAAAGAGATAAAAAAACACAGTTGATAGGAGCATGGTGCGTCAGTTAGTCTTAAAATGAAGCAGGAAAAGCAGAATATATGGACCTCAATTTTGATTCTCTAGTGAAACTGCAATTCTATGATGCAACTTTTACTAGGTGTATTGGTCAAAGATTTAAATGCATGAATTCCCACAAGTACAATCAGCCAGTAGTTGGGAAACCGATGGCCACAGCCTGTCGAGGGAAACAAAAGAGAAGAAACCATTTTCCTTATATCTAATCCACAGTATGACAGAAAAACAATGCATTACTCATAAAAATCCAGGCCACTTCCACTGCTAATATAACTTTTCTTAACAAGCACAGAGTCTTGTTCATGAACATGTGCAATAGTAAGACTGGAAAGTTATCTTGTGGTGAATACATCACTGAGATGGTTAGTCAACCTTAAGACTAGAGTGTAGACTTATAACAAAGGAAGACAGCATAGTCAAAATAAGAAGAATTAAGAAAAGAAAAGAGATTACTGTAGTCAATTTAGTATCAGGTCACAACTACTATTCCAAAGATTAGCCCCATTTCTTTTGGTATCATGTATTTGAAACTACCCCAGAATCAAATTCTTTATTAATTTGGTCATTAATCAAAGCAAGTTTACATTTTTGTATCTGCTGTATTTACAAACTTATGATAGTTTCAAATTTCACAGATCAAGACAATACAAGAGAGCCCAAAGAGAACATTTCTCACAGCCATCAAGTGTTCCACATTACAGCAACTTCGGTTAACTTAGTAAGCAAACTTCCAATGTAAAATGCAAGTCCAATACCAGTAGACAGCTAAAACTTAAACAGTTAGCATTAGAAAAATAAGTTTTGTCAGAATAAAAATAATTTTATCCTACCTCCGTTTTATATCGCGTGTCAGGAGGCGGGACTGCTAAACGAGCCTTCCAATCTTGAGAGCTGATAATCCCACGAAACCACCGAAAAACAAACAAATGCAAGTAGTTAATTCCAGAGAAAACATACACACACACACACACAAATGCAGAAAATAAACACATCCAACGCACAGCATTGACCAAATCTCAAGTTATAAGTAACCTTCTAGCCAATAAATCATATCAAACCATCCTTACAGAAACGATACACCCAATAATAACTTAATCTAAATGGATGAAAGCTAATGAATGAAAACCAACATCATATCAAAGAAAGCTAATGAATGAATACATAAGTTAAATAAACACAAGCCATAGCGAGAAAATGTACGTAGAACCAGTTGAATCGGGCTGCACGGTTTTTTCAACTTCGTTAGAAGAGTCCGACACGGCTGCGGTGTTAGGGTTTCGCCTCATCCACTGCTGAGGTTGATTCTGTGCGGTTGTTCGCTGCGGGTACGGCGGCTGCGGTTGCGGGTATTGCGGGTTCCGGTTCGGGTAATTCTGGTTCGCGTTCCCAACTCCAATTCCATTTCCGCCGCCGCGACCGTTGCCGATCCCCGGTGGATACCGTCCTCGCGAATAATTATTATTCATCATAAAAGCAGAATCTTTCTGAAAATCTGATGGAATTTATAACGGAAATTTTCTGAATCTTTATGAAATAGTGAAATTGAGAAGAAAAATCTTGATTGATTTTCTGCCTTTTTCCTGAGAATGGCTGTGTGCGTGTGAAGAGTAAGTAAGAACGTGTAGTCTTGAGGTAAAGGTTTATTTTTCAGGGTTAAAGTGGACACACAGTTAAAACGAGGGGCTTAATTGAAAAACTTGAAATTAATAGGCAGCTAAAAAGTACTTCGAGTAGTTTGGATCGGTCCGCTTATTGTCATTTTTATTGAAAAAAAAAAAATTGCAACACAAAAAACAAAATCTATTAGGGGTGTACACGGTCTGGAATGGTCAGATTTTAGCTCAAATCATGATCAAATCGGACCTAACGATTAATTTTTTTTCTTGTTCATAACCGGACCGGTTTTATTTTTTAACCGGCCACAATCCGGACCGCATTGGACGGTTTGGTTTGGCGGTTAATCGGTTAAATCTAAAATCCTTGTTTTGGACCTTCAATTTTTATTTTTTTTCATGTTGAACTTAATTTTTATTTTTTAATTTTGGGCCCAAAAAGAGATTATTTGGACCTAAAAATTAAAAAAAAAAAAATAATGAAATTGAAGAAAAAAATAAGTCGAAAAAAGGTTGGGGAACTGAGAAGACTGGGAGTGGGAATATGGGAAAAATTAGGGTTAACTCAAAAAATTAGGAAAAGAAGGTGGGAAAATCTGAAAATGAAAAAACGAAGGTGGGAAAAAGTGAATAGTTATAGTGTCTTACAAAATTAAGTCAACAAAAGACCAAAAAGTGAAAGTGAATGTATTGTATTTGTCGGTCATAATGAATGACTGAATGTATATATATATTTGTTATAGTTTTTTAATATTTACCGGTCCGGTTAAACCGGATTTGCCCCAGATAATCCGTTAACTGGACCGGTTATTTCGGATTGTTAAAAAAATTAACCACTGGATTTTTTAAGGCTTTTTTAACTGACCATTTAACCGATCTGCAGTCCGGATTGACGGTTTTTTTATTTTTGTTAGAACCGGACCGTGAACACACTAAAATCTATGACACAGAAAATGAAATATATTACTATATATTAGAGAGAGTGATTTACTTAAAATTTTGGTTTAAAATTTTCAAAATTACTATTCTTGGAATTTCTTTTTAAATGGCTGACTTAATAAAAATTCAAAAAAAAAATGTTATATGAGAAAGATATTGTGCACACCTTAATTCCTAAAAATATGGGCAATTATTTCCTTAAGTGCTACGGCTCTAGCCACCAGTGAGAAAGAACCTTAAAAATCTTACTTTTAAAAATCCGACCAATCATTTCTTTAAATTTTTTCGGTCAAACGTGTAAATTTGGTTACAAAAATCCGGTCAATTATTTAACATGTGAAGGTTTTTGAAATCATTCTGAAAAGTCATGCGAACTTAATTGTTTTTTTTTTTTCTTCAAAATGTCAACTTAAAATTTAAATATTTTTTGTCCATATTTATCTATCTACAAATCTCATAAAGAATGTTAATTTCGCAAGTTAGTTTTTATATTTCGGATTGTTCAACTTAATTGATGATTTTTTTATCCATATAGTTTAGAAAGAATCTCATATTATGTGGATTCTTGGCACCCTTTTTTGTACACATTCATTTTTCATCTCATATTCAAATTATAAATTTTAATGCGAATATTAAATATCCCATATTTATTCAATTTATACAATTTTTAAAAAGCATGACGATTTATATAATTAATTTTATCATATATCATGTGTTGAATGTTATTGTTTCGTTAGGATCACTTGTTATATTCAACTAAATAATATATATTTTTCATATTTTATATTTTTTTTCTTTCAATAATGAGATGTTAAATATAAATAATTATGTTTAAAATAAAATTAAATAACAAGTCTGTCTGTGCATCACACAGGATGCGCACTAGTGTAAAATAAAGAACCAAAGCATAAAAATAAAACAATTATGAAACGGAGTAATGCGTATAAAATTAAATGTATGTAAATTGTATATATGTATATTTGGTTATTCAATTAATAGGTATACAATAAGAGGGAACTGGACTGGAACAAGTTAGTACAAAAAGTAATTGAGATGAAAAAATATTTATTTAAAATAACTAGTCGAATCGGTTGAATTTATTTCTTAATACTCATTGGTTCATATTTATTGTTCTTGATTACATGTGTTTTTTACCAAGTACATCTTTAAACACACATTAAGATATTCTCACACAACCACATATAGCCATATTTTTCTAAAAACAAATATAACATTAAAAAATGTTGCAAGTATAAAAATGCCAAAACAACTCACTATGGTTTATACAGTAATTCTATGAAGCTATCGGATAGCTCCCTTATGGAATCAGTATGTTTACTAATTTTATATATGAAAACAATATTAAATATTTTAAAATTTCAACTGTTCTAGCCAACACCACATATAATGCTTGAGTCCGACTTTGTATAATTAACCAACCATTTCGAATTATCAATCTTCCAATCGAGCCCACATGCTTCAGTGGGACTTAAATTAATCTTATTTGAACACATATGAAAGCTACTTAGTAAGATGGACACTTTCTACGATCAGGCGATATGAACACACATGATAAGCAGTGAAAGAAAGATAACAAACATTCAAATACCAAAATTGAATTAAATCAAGTAAAATTTTACCTCAAGTACAATATACATCCATTAGCAAAAGTGTAATCAAGGATATAAACAAATTGAACAAAACTAAATCCAAAATAAGATTTACATCCATAAACATTTATTTATTGTATATTCCGATTATACACATTAATCCTCTTGTGTAACTTGAAGGTTTTCCAATGATCGAGTTTCCTTGGGGGCACTAGCGTTGTGATTGTCATTAGTACGTGTTATTTTGATCGACACTTTTTTTAGAGGCGACGACTTGTTGAGGTGGTTGTAGCTGCCTTTCTCTTGAAAGTTGGACAAAATGTGGCTTGCAATAGAGGACTCTGTCCAAAGCTGCGTAAGACAACGTCGTTAGGGAACACCATTTGTGGGCGCACCTGAAGCACGACTTGTGATAGAATTCTCCCTCCATCTTGCAGGTCCCACGCAAGTGAAGCGCACCATAAGAGCATGAGCTTAGGTATACCGTAGTAAGGTTCCATCTCATAACCAATTGGTGATGAGATTAGTAACCCACTAAACTTATAAACTATGCCCATTTACCATGCAGAAATAATGTGAGACAACTCACAAGTGATATTCTAAAAAGATTGGGTGAAAAACAACTACTTTTGCTCATTTTTTTAACAAACAGAGGATAAGAGAGAGAAAAGAAATTATATGGGATAAAATGCACCGACAATAGAAAGTAATAGCTTCAAGGGGTGATTACTGGTCATTTAGAAGGTCGGATTTGTTTTACAATAATCCATAAAAAATTTAATTATGTAAAATGACAAATATTACTTATATTTTTTTACTAAAGTATTCATAAAAAAATAAAATCACTAATGATTTAGACTCATTTGTTAGGCATAGTCAAGTTCCACCTGGACTTATTAAGGTTTATTAGGCTTTAAAAATAAGATTTTACGTAATTTTCTAAATTTTAAGTATAATTCGATTTGTTAAGATTCGAGCTAGACTGTTAAGACTCGTTAGCGAGATGAACCAGGAGCTCAATTGTACTTTTCTTTGTCCCATACCTGCTTCGTATCACCTGTGATTTTTTTTAATTATTCTTTTGAATTAGTGCCTCACATTTCCTATGTAATCAATACAACTACATATAATGCTTCTATTTTGTTGTAAATTGGGATCCTCAAGCATTCATACCAAACAAAGTAAAGAGAAACGAGCGAGAGAACAAGAGACAGAAGAGCAGAAAAGTCTATCACTTTATTCATCGTATATCACCCTTATATAGGGTTTACAAGTGGGAAGCCCTAAAATCTAATTCTCCTAACTAATGGACTTCAGGCCCAATTGTATATTAGTAATGTCCACATTCATATATTTATAACACTCCCCCTTGGACATTACTACATGTCTCATTAAAAACCTTGCTAATAAAAACCCGCCAAGGGAAAAAAAAATTAGTCAAGGAAAAGAGTACATGATTTATAAAAATTCATGTGTTTTACTAGCTGCCTCATCAAAAACCTTTAACTAATAAACCCAATGGGAAAAACTTAGTTAAGGAAAAAAGAGTACAGCATTTGGTCTTCAGGACCTAATCTTCAGGATTATTTTGAGTTTGTCCCTCCCCCTGAAGACAATAGTCTTCCAAGTTTACGCATACCAATACCATAAATATATTTTTCAAAAGTAGATGTAGGAAGGGACTTGGTGAATAGATCTGCCAAATTCTCACTAGATCGTACTTTTTGTACAATAATTTCACCGCTCTTCTGGAGCTCGTGTGGGTAAAAGAATTTTGGAGCAATGTGTTTTGTCATGCTTCCTTTGACGTACCCACTACTCATTTGTAAAACACAAGCTGCATTATCCTCGTAAAGGACAGTGGGGGTTATATCATTTGTAATTCCACATGACTCACGAATATGTTGGATTAAAGATCTTAACCATACACATTCTCGTGAAGTCTCGTATAAAGCAATTATTTCTGAGTGGTTTGAAGATGTAGTAACCATGGACTGCTTAACTGACTTCCAAGATATTGCAGTACCACCACAAAGAAAAACATAACCAGTCTGTGATCTAGCATTATGGGGATCAGACATATAACCAGCATCCGAATAGCCCACCAATGTTATATCTTGATTTTTCTTATAAAGTAAACCAAGATCTTGTGAACCTTGAAGATACCTAAAAATATGTTTAATACCATTCCAGTGTCTCCTCGTAGGAGAAGCACTAAACCTTGCTAGCAAGTTTACTGCAAATGCAATATCAGGCCTGGTGCAATTTGCAAGATAAAGTAATGCGCCAATGGCGCTCAAGTAAGGAACTTCTGGTCCTAAATTTTCTTCGGTATCTTCTTTAGGTCTAAATGGATCCTTATCCGCTTCAAGGGA